TATGAGTTGCAGGTGACCTGACAGCACATAACAACAACAACAAATACATATCTACAGGGTTTTTATACATATGAGTCTCCAGTTTGGTCTTCCAAAGACGATAGTTCAATGACAGGAAAATCTATGAATTAAGGAAGAAAGTTACCTAATTTATATCCATCTTTCTACTCTATTTCTAGGGCATATTTCTAAAGTAGTAAAAGGCTAATTTGGTTTATTTGTGAGTGTGTCATTTCAGTTAAATTTGTTCATTTAAGTGGTCATTTTAGATTTCACTAATGTTATTACATAATATTTTTATTATTGGTATCCCAAAGACATCAAAATCGTCAAGCCTGTATTGTATAAGTTCTTTACTTAACAATTCTGAAAAAGAAACAATCTTAAATGATGAGTCTTTCTTTTTCATTCTAAGACAAAGGTGTTCTATATCCTTTTAAGCTTATATAAATTTCAAAATATTAAAAACATAGAAACTTTATTTTAGTTAAGCAATCTAACATTTGTTAAACTTAGTGTATAAAACATCTTCCCAATTACTATCATGATATTAATCTATTATAGCTGGCTCTGGAGGGATCTTGAGTCTAGCACTCGAATTCTAGAATCTTAGCTCACAAGTTTAACAAAAAGAAGTATCCACATCAGCTAGTATCTGATTATGAGGAAGGTGCACACACTTTCCCTTTACCTCGATGTGTCCACCTGGGCATCAAGGTCTCAGGGAGGTGATTTTCCCCTACCACCATCACTCATCTCACTCAGTAGGTGACTGTAGATGTTCTCCTGGTCCCCTCCCCGCTAAAAGAAAAGAAAAAGAAATAAAAGAAATGCAAGCTGTACTAGCCTTAGGTTTCAAGTGATATTGAGCCTTACTCACGAACTCTCATTATTATTCTAAAATAATTTCCTTACTTAGAGCTCCCATTAGACTGCTTCATGAAGTACTGGCATGCCTGGGAAAGCATCTAGCTGTTCTATATATAACATCTGGTAAGGAAAATACCACACTTGGAGGTATTTTAAAAATATGTTTAATATAAGAAGATATCTAAAAGGTCTCTAGAGAATTGAAAAAAAAGAGTTACATGGAACAGTGCCTATGAATTCTCAAAAATAAATTTCAAGTAGAACATATCCTAATTTTAGTTTTAATTTAAATCTTAACACCCAGGTATCAAACTGTAGCCATAATTTGCACAAATTATTGCAAATGATATGACCATCGATATGAACATACAATACTAGAGTGTAAGTGAACTAGAAGGTGTACAAGCACCATCATGAACACTTAGACAAAGATTCTTAGGTTCTCATGCCTAACTAAACCAGCTTAGTATTAAAACCAAATCCAAATCCGTTAGCATCATGTGAGTTCTGACTCGATAACAGCAGGGTTTCTAGGACTCTGTTCTCTAAGGTAGCAGAAGACCACATCTTTTTCCCCACAGTGGCTTGCAGCCAGAGCTTACACTGTGCCAGAGGAAAGCCGTGGATTTAGTATTTGTAATATTCGTTAGAGAGCCATTCACATTTGCTCTCTTTTCTTGTGTATTTCTCTGAAGCGTTTATGCAAATACATGTGTTTAAATATCCGTGGTTTTGAGTTACTGTGTGAATGTATGTATACCATATGAGCACACATAGTATTATATAGTTAAACAGATAAAATACTGTATTCTTTGAGATATTTTAAGTGTCTGCTCAAATTTGATGAAGGTTGCAACGTTCATTTATGTCTTTTTCTCAATAATAGTCAACAGGCTAAGCAAATCAGAGGCTACAGATTTATAAATTAGACTTTTTCTTATTTCCATGACGTTTTCCCTCCCCCGTTCTTCTGTCTGATCTTGGATGGCACAGTGTTTTCTCAAGAGACAGTTTCCTATTGAAGAGCAGCTTGTAGAGACACCTAGTGGTCCGAAATCATGGTGGCAGTGTAGGCCACACAAGGAGTTAATTGTTAAAGTTTTTATCATTTATGCTTTTGTTAAAAAAATTAGAACGTAAACTATCTACAAACATGTTTACTACTTATAAGTCTAACATCAGTTATTTTGATTAGGAAAATAAATATTTAGCATAAAATAATGCAAATTCAAATTAAACATTTTGTATCAAATGCAATTGTAAAGGTTTAGGAAAGAAATCCATCAATGACATTAAAAAGCAGTAGTTGAGCTATTTTGAGAAGCCCAACAGTTGATTAAGTCGTTGCACACCCTTTCAAAATGTATACAGTTTTTAATATATCAACAGTCCTGAAAATGACTTCTGATTAAGACTCAATGTTTATATGCCAACAGTTTCTACCTGTAATTAATGTAGCCACTAAATTACAGATTAACACGTTCATTGTAAAAATCTAAGTTATTTAATAAATAAGTTCTCTAAAGTAGGTTCTCATGTTAGAATAAAATGAATACATAAAAAAAATACAATAATGAACCTTTTGGACCTGAAGTTTTAGTTGGGTTTCTGCATAAATTTTCCATAGCCAATGGTTAATATTCATAAACCAACTGTTTCTAAAATTAACCGGATAGTCTCATATAAAATTGTATTTCTATTGTCTACACTGTAGACTCTTTTATCATTCTCTCCCGTTCATGTCTTAAAGTTAGTGAAAACTGGCACCAAATTAAGTGTTGATGACTTCCCCAACATTTGTACCAAAAATGCAGAGAGAATTCCAAGGAATATTACTAAACAGAAGGAAGCTTCAGTACTCAGAACAGCTCTCAGTAAATGATTCTAGGCTAACATATATACTGAGTATATGGAAACATGTATGCTTGTGTCTGGGTATCTCAGACTCCCATTATTAATCGTACATATAATCAGGTGATTATAATCATAATTCAGTCTGAAATAATGTAAAATAAAATGCAACACAAGGAATGCTTAAAAGGATCTCAAAAGAAGCAATGCAATTAACTCCAAAATAAAATGAGTAAAACACAGTTCCTCAATAAGGCAATCCAGCTATTTATCTGTTCAGGCAGTCTGCAGCAGACCTCGTATCATGATCAACTTTGCTACTATACATGGGATGCTGGGCAGGTCTAAATTACACTGAAAACATATCTTACAAATGTAAAGACGCCCCCCCCCCCCGAGGGGAGGGAGACATCTGGTTTCATGGAAAAAGTCAGGGATACTTACTGCCGAGATGACGCTAGTGGAGTTTAGCAGGTGACTCTTGAAGAAACTCGCTTTCTATTGATATTGTATTAATTGTTTGGAGGGGTTTCCCCAGCTTTTTAGAACATACCAAATGTGTCCTGAAACATTCTCTCTGCAAATCGTTCACAGTCCCCTTGGATTGGCCAACCGTACCTACAAAGCATTATTCTTTAAAAAAAAAAAAAAGAACAAAACCAAGACACACAAAAAAGCGCCCTCGCTGGCAGTGGGGATGGGCCACTCCCTCCCGCAGGGTCCTTGACCGGCAGACGCAGGAGGCGGCTGGGGCTCTGCGATTTCCCAGGCCCGAGTCAGGCAGGCGCGAGCCCCGGCCGGTGGCAGCGGCTGTGCCCAGCCGCCCGCGCGCCTGGCGCTGCCGGGGCGATGGTGCGTCCTCCC